TTGGAACTGGAGATATCAATTAAAAAAGAAGGAATTCGAAGCCGGCGGGGCAAGCTTGAGTACTCCCGTAAAGAAAGGCCCATATTTACAAGATAAAAAATTCCCACATGATGGTATATCACTATTGCTTATTTGTTTTCCTTATTTTCTTATGATGTTTTCATTTTGTCTATGGATATTAGGCGTAATAAATTTGGGACAGCTAGTATTGCAAGATGAGGCGGGGGCAAAGGGAGGGCATGCTTCCAAGAACACCGAGCGCATCTCCTCAGCCCCGCAATCAATAGCCTCCAACTATAGAGATGAGGTGGCTCGTAAATGAACAGACGCAATAAACAACTGACGTGGACAGGAAGTTGCAAACGGGAAGAAGGGCACCGAGTAAGCGAGCCGACCAGTGAACTTGGTGTGAAGCATTCTCCACGTTGTCTATTTTGCGAACCACTCGTCCCAGTGCCATATCGGACTTGGAATCCGGGGGCCCTTCCCCCAACGGCCACTTTATTCAGTCACAATTCGTTCTTTTCCCTAGTCCCTGCCTAGTCTTCGCGCTGGTGGCAAATGAAAGAACCGATTCGCCAGATGCATTCGGAAGCAAACACTCTGCTTAATAGTTTTCACAATGGACAGACTGAATCAAGAACCGCAGAGAAAATTCAAGATTTTCTCCGTGAAATATAAAGGAAAGGGTTTCACATAATCTTGGAAACTCAGAGATTACGAAAGAAGATTCGATGGATTATATAATACGATATAAAGCATACCTATAGTAATACATACTTTGGTTTTCACTTAAATGATGCCTATTATTAATTAATTATATTATTATTATTATTATTATTTGATTATTATTAATTATTATTGTGTTGTTGTTGTTGCTAATTATTATGTAGCAACGGAAGTCCTTATATTTCTTTCTTTTCAACATTAATAGTTTCTCTGCAACGAAGCAATGACCAGACGAAAAATCAGAAAAGTCAACCGGGTATGCCGCGCCAGAGCCAAGATAAGATAAAGAAAATTGTATTAAGAAAAAGCGAAGAAGTGGAAGAACATAACAAATGGAGATCTTACAGAATTTTTCGCAGGTCATCAGCAAATATGATTCACGGAGTGTAACACCAACAATCGGCGAATGTTAATGAATGTGAACGGCAAAATAATTAAACAACAAAAGAGAGATCTCGAAAAGATGGGAAGAATACAGACGAAAACGTATATGAGAAGAATTACAAATATACGTAGTGGAAAATATGAGATGATTACGAAATAAGAACTAGAGATAGAAAAGAAACGCAATGGGCGACAAAACCCTTGAATAATGGAAAGCCCCGGCTGTAGATATATTCACATCGAACTAATTGCAAAGATACAGAGAAGAAAATCTTGGCAAAACCAACACAATTATGCAAATGTGATATGGAAAGAAATAGTGAACAGCAGACTTGCCCGCACTCTAATTATTCATTTAGCCAAAGAAAGTAGAACAGTCGAGAATTGTGCATATAACAACACAATTGCATGAATTACCGTGTTATTCCATCGGCAAAAGTCATCCGCACGGAAAAAGAGAAAAAATAAGATTTTAAAAATGTTGAATGTAAGATATACTTTCTTAAGATTTTCAAAAACAATTTCACATTGAAAGAAACATCATTTTTTATCTCCTCTGGAAAGTTGGTGTCAGATTACATTACGTCGCGTAAGAGTTAGCGTAAAGCATACCGCTAAAAATCATACTCAGCTAGGAACAAAGATTTCTTTTGTTTTTTAAACATCGTTTGAATGTTCATAATTATTTATATCTTTGTGGCGCGATACGTCATGAACAGAGTCACGTCAACTGGTCATTTGAATATGAAATTTCTAGCTGATAACTTTTTCTAGAATTCCACTGTTTATAAAACAAAGAAAATTGGAAGGAGAAAACACGGCTCTAAATGCAAGCAAACCTCTAGGAGTCCCGTCCAATTGCAATCATTACCCCTTTATTCAATTTACGTAGTTTGTACGAAACGCACACAGAAAATATTTATTCCCTTCAAAATTACCATGACGCACCAGAAAATATTTATTCCCCTTCAAATTAATACAATATGACAATTTATTTTATATCAAATAATTTATTTATAATCAAGAATATTACTAACAAATAAGCTGGGATAAGTCATGGATTCATAAAAATATTATTTCGATGGCTTGTTACGGCGTTGGAGGTCAAAATGCACTGCTTCGCCAGCCCCTATTTTTACCAACCTTTTTTAAATTTCAAGTCGTAGTTTTCCGAGGCCCAGAGTCATGTGCATGATCTTGGTTGTCCAGGTGTGACGCCGTGTCGGAAGTTTGTTGCCGACGTTTCGACTATCTTGTCGTGGTCCCCCCTTCTTCAGGGCTGGTATGTCATGGGCATACCTCCCGTACAGTCCAAGATCATGTACTTGTTTAAATTTGTCCGAAAGTACGAAAAACATTTTAAAATTAGTCGGCCATTTTACTTGGAAAAAAGAGATTCACCAGAGTGAACTTTATTAAAGCAGATAAAACATCCGTTTGAGCACCATCAAAAATCAGTTTGTAGGATAAAAGAGCCTTCGTGCGTATACTCCGCTCATTCTTTCCGGTATTTGAACCCGGAAGATCTTAGAGCAAGGTGGAATGTTAACAGAAAACCTTGAAGTAAAATATATTTAAAATAAGATGTGGAGGAGATGGGAAAATGGTTATCATTTACAAAATTAGTTCATTTTTTAAAAACCTGTTCCAAATTGGAATCGATATTTTGAGTAATTGCCTATCAAAACAATTTTAAGGTCGTATTCGATAGGAAGACGGAAAATACTGTGAAAAATAATACTTATGTGCTACATTACAGACCGTTTATCCTTCAGTTCAGTAATAGTAGTATAGCATCTCTAAATTTGGTATCTGTGGAAAAATAGGACTGAGGATGCAGAGACGAAAGCGAAACCGACTGTCTCAGCTTGCGTATCCGCAAGAGTCCCGCTGCTCCGCCGGGGCTGGCCGCACGCCGCTGGCTGGTCCGTGGCCCCCGGCGCCGACAGAGGGCCCGCAACCAAAGTCACGGTGTGGGTGACGCCAACGGCGAAGAAGGGGAAGGGGGGCGAGGTGTTTTCGTAAATTTCTTTTACGACGCTCCTTTCGTCGATTTGCATGATTGTTACGGCGTTGGATTCAGGAAGCATTCGCCGTCGCGCTATAAGCCCACATTTTATTTGTTCTCGGAAGTTTGAGAACTAATTTCAAATTCGAGATTTTTCTAGATTTTTGGAAAAAGGGCTTCGTAACGTAAATTCTATTTTAAGAAGGCGTCAAATGCCGTTTACAGATTGAAAAGCGGACCATTGGTTCCGACGTTATCGGTAAAGTAAATTTTACTTATTTTGGTGCTGTCCCGTGGTGGCCACAAATTGTACTAGTGTCGGGACATTTAGCCTTAAGGCATGGTGCTTTGTTTCATCATAAAAACCGTGGCATTTCAATTGTTCATTAAAACCACGAAAATACATTGCCACTGACATATAACCTAAAATAAACACAGTTTTCTCAGAATGTAAAAAATGTCACTTATACTGTTCAGGTGTTCACCCATTCAATTATAAGATGTGACCTTTTTTGTCCTAAATCGTTAATTTTAGTTTACTTCGAGTTTGCATTGTGAATGAAGCCTTATAAGTTCCATAAGCCTTATTGGTTGTTCTAGAAACATATTTTGCCGCTATGGACTATTTTACAGAACCAATAAGCTTGGCCAAAAATGGCTTCGTAGCCTAAATTCTACTTTAAAAAGGCGTCAAATGCCTTTTACAGATCGAAAATAGGACCATTGGTTCAGACGTTATCGGTAAAGTAAATTCCCCTGTGATAGTGCTGCGATCTATTGAATTTTCCTACAAGTATTTTTCGGTGCATTTAGCCTTAAAGTAATTCAAGTATTAATAAACCTGCCTATTGCACTAATAAAATTGGTTACGGATCAATAACTACGCATTATTTTTAATGGCGTGGGGTTATTTAACATCAGAGGTAATCCAATGCGGAAACGGAGTGATCGTTGTCCGGGAAATCCTGTATCTAAGGCTGAGTTGTCACGTTTTTGTCGTCATTCAGACATACTCTGAAAGATTTCTTTGAATAGTGCCTCATATAGGGTTAGACGCAGTTGAAGTAATCCATCGTTGAAAGGATATTTATTTATAACAAACATTTTTTAGCTGAAAAAAGAAAATTTCAAGTTACTAAAATAGCATTAAATATAAATTGAAGAGGAAGGGATAACTGAAAATTATTGTTCTCGCATGATTCCAGAATATAAAAAAGCCAGTACTGATGAGAAAACAATAAAATTGACTTAAAGTTGTCTGTTTCTAAGTAAATATGACAATTCCATATACTGCAATGTATTCGCACTTAGCAACATTTGAAACTAGAAGTTTTGCTCGAGGTATATATAGAAAACGTATTTGCAAACATCGATAATCTACACCCCCTGGTGCAAAGTCTAACGCAACTGGTGAAAAAAAGAGCTTAATAAAACGTCCGGAGAAAAAAGCATAATTTATGTCTAAAAGCCAAATAAGGGGCCATTTTATATTCATTATTTTAATTATATTCTTTTTACTACAATTGTACCTCCATTTATCGAATCTGATAGTTCCTTCGATAATATTCGATATATAGTTTTTAAACAATTTTGGAAAAATTCAATAAATTATTAACAAATAATTTAATCATTCGAAACATATTTATGAATAGTAAAATGAAATTTGTGTGGCATACGTATCTGACCAATCATAGAATTGAATTTTTTTTTAAATAGAATGATTTGTTGCAGATACAAGTCATTTCAATATATAGATGTTCAATAAATGGAGGTCCAACTATATATTTATTATTTATTGTATTTTATATTTATGAACACTTAGCAATATTAGATGGTTTGTCTACACACCCTTCCTAGCCTACGTGATGTAATGCACAGTTCATGGCTGTTTTAAGAGAGATTCCAAAATGACCTTAATGTTCCCTTTTAAAGCAATGATTGTGAATGAAGCTGCGTTCACTTGCACTGAGGCCGAGTGCGGGGCTGTTGGCGTGCGTACCCCGGTGATGTAGACGTCGTCGATCCAGAGCGGGGCGGGGCGCGCGGCGGAGTCCACAATGCGGAGCAGGGCGCTGGCCGCGGCCGCCGTCGCCACGTACGCCCACCCCGACACGAAGCGCGGGAAGGCGTCGGCCGCGAACTCCTCCCGCGAGAGGCGCCACTTGTCGCCCGGCGCACGCTGCGGCGCGGCGCCCGCCAACACGTGGCCCAAGAGCACCGCTTGCCCCCTGCCAACATCGCAACAACAATCACAGGAACTAGCGTACACACGTGGAAATCCGGGTCCCCTTCCCCACACAAGCGAAAAGGTGTTAGCGAATCGTATTTTTAATACAATTAGATTGATTAGTTTGCGATTCAAGTGCTGTAGTTAGTCCTGAGAGAACTGCCCATGTTATATCCCGCGAGGTGGGTGCGGTTGAGGCGCCAGCCTTCACGTCGTCGTGAGAGAGGAGGTTCCCCCTCCGGTAATTTCCCCCAGCCGACCACTCCCCGGCCGAGACAAGCTGTAAGTTTCCGACTGGTCAATCATGTGTGTAAGCAGAGTCGGGGATTCAGGGGAGAGGGCAAGTGGGGGGAGGGGGCAACTGCCTCCCCAATCTTGGGAGCAATTCAAAAAATTATATTTAGACATTTCGTTTCGCAGATCGTCAAATTTATGTGACGATCTGATATGAAACAGTGGTGTTCGTGTTTTTCCGGTTCTTAAGCTTTCGAAGGTAAGTCTTTGGCTTTTAATTATAGTTTGTTTGTTCAGACCGATTCTAATTCTTAACTAAAAAAATAGAATATGTTAAAACATTGTTTTTATACCTGCAATCTGCAATTTCGAACTATCAAAGACCTTTTTACTTTGGAGAATTTTAATATGGTGATAGTTCTAAAAAAAAAGACTCGAACTATGATGCGGATAAGAACACCAAACTTTAAAGGTCTTGTATTACATACACTACAACTTGTGTTTGATTTTTGTTTTCGATGCCAGGAAAGTTCTAGGCACAAAACAAAAAAGATCTAGTGGTGCAACAGAAGGCTCTTTCTCGTACTACTTAGTTTCCTAATTTATATGGTCGGGGATAGCTTTTCGGTCGTGACCCACCCTTTGGCCAGCTGCCACCTAGCTGCCACCTAACTGCCACCTATTTTTCACATTTGCTCAATTTTTCGGTTTCCTAATGGCAGAACAGAAAACTGACTTTAAGGCTATTATTAAAGAGTAAAACCTCGTTCTATATCGAAATTTCCTTTGAAAATTTGGTGCTTCTTTACGAAAATGGCAATTTTACTGTAGTAATTGCGAAATTTGAAACTCTTTTTCAGAGAAAACTATTGAGATTCTGAAATACTTTTTTGGATGTCGTTTAAGGTACTGCCACTCACAAACACAATAATGTATACAAATCGTCGTAAATGTGCATATTAATGGCGTGAGAGATGTTTACAAAAATTGATTTGTGTAATTTTTGAAGAAAAAATAGAATTCAAAAAAATGACATTAATGTCATTTTACACCGTGCAATTGGCATTATCTGCACAAAAAGTTTGAAGAAAAACTTTGGAGCCGTTTTTGAAAAAATGGTGTTTGAGTGTTTCTGAAAATGCGGAAATTTGAGCTCATTTTCACATAAAACTGTTGAGTTTTCGAGAAACATTATATAACATTATTTAAATCACATGTGCTCGTAAATGAAATAATACGAATCGCCTCTATTGTAAATACTAACAACGTGAGAGACAAGACAAAAATCTTCATTAGTGTAATTTTTGAAAGAAACAAAAAAGTAGCAAAACAAGAGTACATTTAACACTATCCATCGCAAGAGTTTAAAGAAAAAATCTAGAACTGTTTTGAGAAAAAAAATTAATATTTTTTTAAATATTACACATTTTGATGATTATTAAAAACTAATACAATTTTCAAAACAATATGCATGACCTGAACAAAACTAATTGTAGAGAAAAAGTTTTCTTGAAAGAACAATCTCTATCTTCAATTTTCTAGCTGTAGGAAGATGCCGGAAAAATTTCCATTTCTTGCAATTTCAAAAACTTCAGAGTTATCTGTGAAATAATTAAAGATGTTGTCATTGCCAACAATGTTTCGTAGTCGTTTTGTGGCTTCCATCTAGCAGACAACTGATGATGACGGCTAAGCCATCGAAAGCTGCTATTGAATTAAAAAACATTGTTGGCAATGACAACATCTTTAATTATTTTAAAAATGCCAAAGATATCCTACCACAACACCTATGTTATCTGTGAAAGTCGGACCTATGCCATCTTTATAACCTCCAAAAATTGATGAATGTTTTTCAAAATCGCAGAGCTTCGATTCAGCACAGATCGACAGGGTTTAATTTAGTTTGGAAAAAATCATATGAATAGTTTAGGCGCTAGTGTTGTTCATTTATACCAGTCAGACGGACGGACGTGTTGAAAAAACACTTTTTCGGTATCAGGGAACCCTAAAACGTGTATTACCGTCGAAATCTCGATATCGGTGTTCCACAGCATTACATAATATACTCTATACTATGTATATTACTCCGTATATTCGTACGTATAAGAGAAAATAACTAGCGGTGCTACAGAAAGGCACAGACTTTCTCCGATAAGTTAGATTTATAATTCCGTTGATCTGGGCAAACTTACATTCTAGTACCATCCTCTTGCCAGCTTTAATCTATCGCCGCCCAAAGTACATTTACCCCCCCTCACTTTTCCGGTTTCGTAACGGTAGAACCGAAATATTACTTTAAGAATATTAAAGAAGACTAATACCTCGTCATACAAGAATATTTTTGTTGAGATATTTCGAGACGATTAAAAAAAATGGATTTGAAGCATTACTGAAAATGCTAAATTTAAAGCTCGTTTTTACAGAACTCATTTTCGTTTTCAAACGGTTCCAAACTTTTTACACATATAGCGCAAAATGCACTGTTTAATACTACAGGAGAGTTGATTTTCGGATATTCTTTTGTTTTTTCAAAAATTACAAATGTATTTTTTTAAAATATCTCTCTCGCCGTTAATAAATTCGTTGCCAGCATTTTTTAAACACTACCTCATTTCTGAATTAAGATGCTTTAAATGGCTTCCAATGAAAGTCTCTGAAAACTAAAAAAAATTCTGTGAAAAAGAGCTTCAAAGTTCGCATTTACAGAAACGTTTAAAAGTCAATTTCTTAAATAAAGCCCCCAATTTCTCAATGAAGATTACCATTTAGGACGAGGTTTTGCTCTTCTTTAATACTTTTAAAGGAATATTTCGGTTTTACTATTAGGAAACCGATAAATTTATATAAGTTTAAAAAAATGTACTTTAATTGTCGATAGATGGCAACTAGCAAGAGTATGTGGCAAGTCCGAATAACTAGCTCAGATCAAAGAAAATAGAAATCTAATTCGAGAAAGTCTGTGCCATTTGTAGCACCACTAGTTTTTCAAACATGCTTTTTTTGAATTATTAATTTTTCACCCATTTTCTGAACAGTTAATTAAGTTAATATTTTTTATAAAGTTTACATAAATGTTGATGAAGTTATTATATTTGTTTTTTTAAAGCATTTAATTCATATTTTTTAAAGTTGAAATAAAACTGCTGCGGGCTCATCTTATCACCTTCTCTATAAAAAAAACTATTAATACTTTGGATCTTGCCAAAAACAAAAGATTCCATTTTAATTAAAACATTTATTAATGTAGATTTTAAAATATTCAGGCAATATAAAGGCCAATATAATGTATCCTACAGTTGTGTATACACATTTTTGATAATAATAAACATTTTCGGTATTTCAATATATGATTCATTCAGAACTAACAGTGTTACAGAATTTCCCGTATTAGTTTTCTATTTCCTTTGGTCTTTGCTAGCTACTCGGTTTGCCACATACTCTTGCCAGCTGTCATCTATCGCCGCCCAAAGTACATTTTTTATATTTTCTTAATTTTTCTGTTTCTTAATTGTAGCGCGGAAGTATTTTTTAAGATTAGTAAAGAACAATAATATCTCGTTCGAAATGGCAATTTTCTTTGACAAATTTGGAGCAGTTTTGTAAAAAAACGGCGTTTAAGCACTACTGTTAATTCGAAATTTGAAGCTCTTTTTTACAGAAAATGTTTGAATTTTCAAAAAAATTCATTTGAAGTCATTTTAATTACTTTAACACACAAATACAATACTGTTCACAAAGTGCCAAAAATGTGTTATATCAACGGCGTGAGAGATTTTTTAAAAAAACAATTACTTTTGTGTGATTTAAAAAAAATACACCGAAATTAACTTTACGCCATATTAAAGAGTGCATATCGCACTACCCATCGAAATGTTTGAAGAAAAAATTTGGAACCGTTTTTAAGAAAACGGCGTTTGAACGTTTCTGAAAATGTCGAATTTTGAGACAGTTTTCACAGAAATACTGTTTAGTTTTTGAAAAAATTTATTTGACATTATTTAAAGAATATGTATTTATAAATATAATAATCTGAACAAATTGCTGCTAATATAAATATTACCAATGAAAAAGACAAGTCAAAAATTACATTTTTGTAATTTTTGAAAAAAACAAAAGAATAGAGCAATATGGCGTTTATATCATCAGAGTACATTTAGCACTATCCCTACAGAAAAGTTTAAAGAAAAATATTGGAGCCGTTTTTGATAAAATATTTTTGTAATTTTTTAAACTTGCATATATCGCACGCAATTTTGCGCGAAAACTACTAAAAGTTTCCAAAAATATACATGACCTTAATTAAACTATTTGCTATAGAGAACAAATTGTATTTGAAGGAAAAACGTCTATCTTCAATTTTGTAGTTGTAGGAAGACGCCGATAAAAAAGCGTACTTTTGAAATTTTCGAAAATTTAGTGTAAACCGTAAAAAGTGTATATTACTCTATTCTTACAAGAAATTTAAAGTAAAAATTTAAAGCCGTTAATGAGAAAATTTTGAAAATGTCCGGAGGGCTTCATGTAAAGTACACCCAAATTTTAAAGAATGTTTTGCAAAGCTTCGACTCGAGCCAGATGGACAGGGGTTTCTTCAATTTGGAAAAAATACTACTCATGATTCAGCTAGCAGTGTTCACAGATGGACAGATGGACGTTTAGCCCTCAATAAAGTTTTCAGTATCAAGAACCCACAAAACAGGGATTCGGGCTACACCACGCATTAGAGGATTTTATGTAAATTTAGGAACTGAATTTATTCACTTTTTCGTTTTTAGGGCCCAGCCATGATTTTTTTCGGCCGAAAATCCGCCTTTTTTTGCGCATCATTACATAACTTTTTCTATATTACATATATTACTCCGTATGTATATAGGAAATTGAATTGCATGCATAATTGCATGCATAATTGAATTTACAGTTCGTATCGTTCAAATAACAATTAGATCGACACTTCTGTGTTCAACTACTATAATTAATAATATTCAATAATAATCAATTAAATAATTAACATAATTGAAAACAGTGTATAATTGCAGCACAATTAACGTAACACATTAATATAAACGAATATTCCAGTGTTTATAATAGCGCCGAAATTTGCCCACTCAATAAAGGATTCGCAATTCCGCCCGTGTGAAAAGAAGAGAAGGGGACAAGGACGAGGAAGGAAACATCTCATGCGTTCCGCGAACTGTTTATTAAGGTTCTCCTCCGGCATTGATAGGAAACCATGGAAAACTACTGATCAGACCTGCCAGCAGACAGAATTCTTCCAATTGTTTCCTTTGTATTATCTGCACAGGGCCTGCAAAAACTGTTTTTAGATTCATGATTTGACAAAGACTGATCGTTAGAATTATTCTGAAGATGTTTAAGAAATTATGATCCTACAAAGTACTGATGAAGACAATGTTAAAGTGGCGTCATATTTTGAAGAATGTCGATGAATTTGTGATGAAACAAGAATTAAATGAATAATTTTTGTTTGTGTCATTTTTGTTTGTTTAGTTTTTAAAAGGAAATTACAATGTTGATAATGTAGGTTCTACATATTATTTAATGTATTCTGTCTGAATATACAGTATGACACACTTTTTTATGCCCGTCAGTGAGGAAACATGTGATGTTCTGAACCTGCAATCTGGTAACACTGAAATTACCAAAACTAATAGCTACGGTACTTCATGACAACAGAAAAGATGACTTGCTCTTCGAGTTAACTTCTGTAAAACCACGATATTTAATGTGAAATAATGTTTGTCGAATGCAAATAAAATGTTCATGATTTGTTTTCCACTGTCTCAAATCTACTCAAATTTAAAGTTAATAATTACAAAGATAAAACTAGACCACCTGGCTGCCCGAGATGGCTACAGTATGTGTCGTCTCCACGCCTTGGTCTGAAAGGTCACGGGGTCGAGTCCTGCCGTGGGCATGGTAATTTGTCCCTTGTCCTTCATTTATGTGTGTTGTCGTGGAAGGCCTTCTGAGTTTGCTGTCCACAGACCGAGGAGTAAATAAGTGCGTTAGTGTCTACTGTAAATGTTAATATGTGTCCCCATGAGAGACATAGTGGGTACCCAGTGCGAATAGTCCAAATCGGCATCCCTTGAAGCCGAAAAAGCCCCAGGAAGGAAAAAATACAGTGACAAAAGTGTCTTAATAAAGAGTATAAGTGAACTATGAGGTGAAGAGAACAATTTTCTCTGCGTTTTCTTCAAATTTACTAGATACTCCTATTATGCATTATACAGGTACCCGAAGTTGGGTTGACCATCGTGCACCTCTGAACATTTTTCCAAATTTGGTTTTCTCCTTAAACAGTGAAAAAATTGATGTATGTCATTGATATAAATCTCTATTCAAAATTCTTATGATCATATTTTTATTACGTATTTTCAAAACAAGAATAAATAAAATATGAGTTTAATAACATGTCTACAAATTTTGGCCGTATGACGATATCGCTCAGAGTTTACACACGGTGAAAGCCAGCGAAATGTTGCTGAATGGATGAGAGGTACTTGACCCAATAACAAATCTAACCAGATATTAAATCTCTATTAAAATTATTTGCTTATTGCAGATTGTGCTTATGTGATTTACTTAAAAAGGCCGTCAGTTCTTTGCGTTCTTCAAAAGAGAAAATGCCTCCCACCCGATTACGTACGCATTTACAATGGAACTTACTCTAGGTATGTTTTCGAACTTAATGTTCTACGATTTGTAATATTAAGTAAATTAATATTAAGTTAAGCAAAGAGACGGGATCCTCAAAATATCCAACTGCGCCCTAGCACCTCTCAAATTATGGTCATGAAGCTTGGAAAAGTCGAAGCGGGCGACTATGTTCGACGCCAACTTACATTAAAAAAACCCACATCTTTTCAAAAAATTGACCATCGGGTTTCCCCTCTATTTGTGCCGCTAGGGTTAGACATTCGGTGGTACTCACTCGCGTCCTCGGAGGCGGCGGCGCGCGTGCTCCAGCAGCCAGGGCACGTCCGCGGCCACGTCGTCGTCCATCTTGAGCAGCAAGTGCGCCCGCGCGCAGCACCGCACCAGCCAGCGCAGCGCCAGGAGGTGCTTGCGTAGCAGCAGGCGGTACCCCTCGGCCCAGTCGCCCTGCGCACACCCAACCACACTCTCGGCGACAAAGCTGCATACATTTCCCTGTCTTCCTTTTCCCTATTGGTGCCAGCGACACGTGCATGTACGCCCCGCGGGGTCCGTGTCCCGTGGGTTATGAACGGGTGTGTGCGGCCGGGGCTGGTGGAGACCCCTATGTATGGTCACGCTGGGGTCATTGGTAATATTCTCTGATTTTACTACTATGACTTTTGACGTGTTCAATCAGCTGAATCACGGTTATCCTATAGGGAGCTTCCATAACAAAAATTAAATCGTTACGAAACACACGATTGGATAACCGCGTCCAGCTGATCACACCTTAGAAGTCACTGTATTTAAATCAGAATATAGATGGCGCTAGTGTCATTTTTCTGGACTGAACAGTTCTGAAGTTGAAGTTGGGCTGAGCGTGGGAGAGGCAAGCGCGCGGCTCTCAAATAAAGAATTAAAAGCCCTCATTAATCTTTCTTCTCTTGCCCATAAGTGCGTCTTTGAAGGAAATATTTGGCAGGCGTTCGTTTTTTTCTGGTGTTTTCACGTTAATTCGTATTTGGGATTCTTTATAGTTTTTCGGTCGACATACGGATTCGGTTTTACGGATTTCGACTTGTGTATTTTCATATTAACATTATTTAATCGGTATGACGTGGCGAACAACTTTATCTAGTGAGGAATAGTTGGAAAACAAGGGTGGGAAATGTGTGAAATACATGACTACATCGTGGGCGCTGACGGCGCTGCGCAACGGCGCGAAGTGCGACAGCGGGACCTTCGCCCGGTAAAGCAGCGCTCATGCCAGCGGCGTGTCGCGATGAATGGTACCTCAGCCTCCTCGCGACAGTAAGGGTTAGACGGCTCGGAGATTTGTATCCACCTCACGTCGCTCCAAAGATATTGTTTCCATTAAAACTTTACTTTTCACATTTCAACGGATTTCGTCACTGCACCCACCGTCAGGCATGCAGCAGGCATAGTATCAACGAACTCAACTATTTGTTCTCCTGCACGGCAGACTACTGTAATTGGTTGCTCCTTTAAGCTTAGCTTTTTGCAACCGCCAACTTAACCAACCTCCAACAACAGCAATAGTATTTAAGAGTTGACACATCTATCTCTAAGGTCCATGCGACCGTATTTTTAGTAATTACTAAGAAATCCCTACTAGTGTAATCCTTGAGCCCCATACGCCAACCGGTAGTTAGCCAGCGCGGAGAAAACATGGTTGAATCTACGCGCTTTCGTTGTGTTCCTTAGAAGGGTGTGAAACGCAAGCTGTCGTGGCAATCACTCACACAGTGTTGTATGGCAAGACCCAGTTTCATTGAATACAGGATTCAAGATCATGGTAGCTTTCAAAATTACAACACATACATATTCTACGATTAACAAACCTTAGAATATCCGAATGAAAGTTAATTGCAGAAGCCCTCTTCAGTATTCAGACTTAATGATAAATTCATACTAGAGGAGTGCTTCACAGTTCACGAGTGTGGGTAAAGTAATCCAAACTTTTGGTAAATTTGTAAGCAACTGAAGAAATGCAAATAAGTATACAAAAATAATATTTCTATGTATACCGATTTGTATAATTTGAGTCACAGACTAGAAATGATACAACTCTTTAAATTTTTTAAATTTTATATAATTTTTAATGGCATTTCTTCTTCTGAGGTAGTAATTCACTTTGACCTAACTAATAAATTCACTACGCATTTTACAGACTTTCTCTGATACTTTGCCTATTTTTGTGAAACCTTTACTACGTATCCAATGAATTACAACTGACGATGATTTTGGGCAATTGAAACAGAGATTAGTAAACAGCACTCATGTAGCACTAATCAAACTTTAATCAAATAAATTGACAAACACAAAAGGACGGCGAAAATAGCATCATAGAAATACAGTTAGCAACACACACTACCGCCTCAGTCGGGAACAAATTCCATATAATACATTCTTGGCTATCCAGGGTGAGGCGCGTCTCGGTCAATTGTGCTGACGTTTCGGCCATCTTGCTGTGGCCTTCTTCAGAGCTATATTGCAGCAGTATCAGAGCACAGCAGTATTGCTCTGAAGAAGGCCACAGCAAGAAGGCCGAAACGTCAGCACAATTGACCGAGACTTGACTCACCTCGGATAGCCAAGAATGTATTCACTCTGGCTGCGGAAGCCTACGATTGCACATTCCATACAAAATGCCAAATGATCGATTACGCTATAAGACGCCCGGGGTCGCCCGCTAAATCCGGCGAAATAGCGGGACCTGGCAGGCCTCGCTAACCCTTCGTGTTCGATTTCGAGTTAGCGCAAGCGCAGTGACTCAAAAATGTGGTCGATTGCTTCCCGCTAAGGCTGACTCAAAGGACTTTATGCACGCCATTGCGTCAACACTATTGATCTTCTGAGCATGTGCAGATGCAATAAAACGGTGCGAAATTTGAACTTCGCATGAGCAAAAGGTCGATAGTGCTTTAACGTTCGAGAAGGCACAAACTCCCTAATAACTCTCTACTGTGGCGTTAGATCGTCCATCGACTTCGATCCTATTTCGACACTCGATTTTGAGTTAACATACTGTCACTCGTTCATTACGGCATATAGTGCATGCCGTACCGTCAGCATTAGGGAGTTTGTGCCACCTCGGACGTATAGCACTATCGATCTTCTGCGCAAGTTGAGATGCACTAAAGTGGTGCGAAATAAACTACGCATGCGCAAAAGATCGATAGTGCTTTACGTTTCAGGCGTCACAAACTCCATACTATCGATCTTCTGCGCGTGCGCAGATGTACCAGTGGTGTGAAACTTGAAATGCGCATGTACGGAAGATCGACAGTGCTCAAACGTTCGAGGTGGCACAAACCAACACCACCTTACGGCATTTGGAGGATTCCGAGTAACCGCTCGCCGAATCCCAAGTAGGTTGCTCGCTATTCGCCGAGCGCCGAACATTCGGTATTGGCCCTACCCACCGCGTGTCGGTCTTTAGGACACATCAAAGGGAGCGAACATTCACCGAACATATCAGCTGTTCGGGATTGGACGAGCAGTAGCTCGCTTCTCGGCGGATGCCGAATGTGTCGAGCCGCCTTTATGCCTTACATAAACATGAGCACAGAAGCGTGACGCTTGCAAGCTTTCAAGTTCAGGTCTTTACTTGTTATGCTTATGCGAACGCGTTGTGAATGATTCCGATTACGGACGTAGTCCTTACTTTTATGTTAACGTCGTGTTTATGTTTATTATTTATGTTACTGTGAATGGGCCTTGAGCCGCGTGTTGCGAATGCTGAGATAGGCGTACACACCTGCAGGAGGTCCCCGTGCCGTCTTTGCTCGTCGCGGAGGGCGTCGTGAACGGCGGGCGCGGGCGCGGGCGGGGGTGGGGACCGGAGCAGAGGCCGCGCCAACAGGAAGACGCGGCACGCGCCCAGCGCCGCCAACTCCGCGTCCGGCCACGCGCGGCGCTGTGCGTCCCGGGCGGCGAAGTGCGCGGCGTGAGACACCACGGCCACCAGCGCCGTCGCGCCGCCGCCGCACGGCGCGGGCTCCAGCGCCAGCCGCCCCTCCGCCAGCAGCGGCTCCTCCGCCTCCCCTCCGCCGCCTGTGCCACGGGAGGCAAGCAATTGATTAATTGATTAGTGATTCCGGGCGCGCCGACGGCTACGCTCATTAGTCCCGTGTGTGGGTGAGTGTGCATGTTTTTGTCGCGGGAGATGGCGGTGATCTTCCCCCGCTGGATGACGAGATCCGGCGCCGACCCGTCCCTCGGCTTGAGGGTTATTCTTCTAGGGGTCTTCTGGGGGCTGAGAGACGCGTTGCGTCTGTATAAATGCAACAAATTAAAATGAAATTGTGTGACTTCAAATTATTTTATTTCATTATTTTGGGTTTTATATAAATATATTGTAACCGTACGCAGGAACCCAGTCCAACAAACTGACAAAAATAAATATCATTGTTTTGGAAAATAATTGTCTAGTAAATAAGTCGGCAGAAGAAGATACAAGTGGCAACGTGAACGCGGGACCAAATTTAATATTCTTGTTAAATAGCAGGGGAATTTTCGAGATAGAAAACAAGTGTTAGAAAAGTAAACAATTTTGAGAATCATCCGGAATCATTTCGAAAAGGGGGTACGAAAATTTAGAAGGAAAACGTCAAGAGGCAGAAAGATACACGGAAAGACAATTGAATATAGACATCTGATGTAAGCAGCTTTCCAAATAAGTTGGAATTTCGGGAAAGCGGGTAAATCAGATGGCAATGAACTTTGGGGAACGCGGCAAATTAAAAGGCAAACTTTTCGGAACTTCTTAAAAGTGCCAAATCAGAGTGGATGTGAAGAGAATATAAAATGTTCCAAAAAGATCTCGATGCCAGAGGAAAGCAAGCGTTTTTTATTGTTGAAAAACAATCGAAAGGCTGAACTGTCTATAAAGGTCACAGATGCCGAACCGACATGTGCTAGCATGTGCCGGCAAGTTATCGTGTTTTTTGGGGGAGTCAGAAGTATGGTATTTAGTAGATTGCGTAGAAACGCATAGGATGTGAGGACATATGTAATGGTGAGCCCAGCAGCTGGAACATTATAGTGAAATGGTGGATGGAATGGATTCGCGAGCCGACGGGAACACTTTCACATTCAGGGAAGTGAACATACTGCAGACAGTACGTGCGCGTATGGAATACATTTATAAGAATGCTAAGTAATGTAAGCTTGAAACAATGTACATGGCCATCAAAATTGTAATGTGCACTGTATGAATGAGAATGGTGTAAACATTTTGTATTAAGAATGAATGTTGAATTTAGATTATTTTGTTATTACATTGAAGGGTTTCTTGTTTTTGTATCATGGTTTTATCGGCAGCGTCACAGAGGAAAGTGACGACGGCGAATATTAACGCCGCCGAATAAAACTTTGAACGTTTTGCAAATGAAAGAGAAAAAAACTTCCCGAACGAAAATTGCTATGTAATATAATAATAT